TATTGAGAAAGCCTAAGGAATAAGGTTTATTCCTGGCGAAAACCTGTAAGCAACCAGTCTTATTCTATGAAATAAAAAAAATAAAAATAATACTATGAAAACTTCTATAGCGCATATACAAGTCTGTTCTATGCGCTCTGGTATAACATAAAACAAAATTAAACTCTAAAAGCTAAACGAAACAAATAAGTTTTAAGTTCTTTCTTAAAGGACAGCAGAGTCAATGTTACGTAATTCAGATGGGAGAGAGTTTCAWAAAGTAGGGGCAGCAACAGAGAAAGAGCGAAAGCCATATGTTTTCATCGAGTAAAGTTTAGCAGACAGGAGTAGTTCTTTAGAGGACCGGAGCGTTCTTTTAGGTTTGTATACAGAGATCAAAAAGAAATTCAAGAACCCAACATCTCAAAAATATATCACAAAAAAAAAATTAGATTCGCAAGACATTGAGTGGAAAAATGTATATCGCAGAGTGTATCAGGTTACAAATGATGTTCAATTGAGAGCTTTCAGGTACAAAATTTTGAACAACTGCCTTTTTCTCAAAAAAGATCTTTATAAATTCGGAAAGAGTTTTCAAAAACTCATTAATTATTCATGAAGTATTCAGCCAATCCCTGATTGTAATTTGTACCACGTGAAGTAACTTGAAACCAGAGGAAGTACTCGTACCTTGTATTCTACCTTATTTCCAGTTACTTCTACCTTTTTTTGAAACCAGAGGAAGTACTCGTACCTTGTATTCTACCTTATTTCCAGTTACTTCTACCTTTTTCAAGTTACTTCTACATTATTTCCAGTTATTTCTACCTTATTTCCAGTTACTTCTACCATGTTTCCAACTACTACTAGCTAATGATAATCAAATTATTGGAAATAATCAGTTTAACATTCATTTAGTGAAAAAAGGTCTTTGATACATGACTCCCTCACGACTCAATCCCCTACCGTCCAGTCTATATGCGCCGTCTTATACCATTACACCACCGAGTTTCTGATGCGATTCCTCGGAAGATAACATACTTATAAATCTTATGGATTAGGGCGCTCCACCACAAAAATGGCAAAAATTGTAACCCGCTACAACGGGTTGCCTTAACCCGTTAGAACCGAACCCGCTAGAACTGGTTGAGAATCAACCCGCTAGAACGGGTTTAGAAAGCAAAAAAAACCCTAAGTACTATACTAGGTCACCAACCGGTTACAGCGGGTTTGCCAATCCGTTAGAACCGCACCCGCTAGAACTGGTTGAGAATCAACCCGCTAGGACGGGTTCAAAAAGCAAAAAAACCCTAAGTACTATAATAGGTCACCAACCGGTTACAGCGGGTTTGCCAACCCGTTAGAACTAATTGCGCGGACTTTGAAACCCCGTCAAGTCCTCATTGTCGGCCTTTAAACATTACATCAAATGCAAACGTAAGATAGATCTTGAAAAGATCTCTCACGAGTGAGCGTATTGCAATGTATTGCATCATGAGATCGAGCCTATTTTGACTGACATCAATGAAATAATGTTTAGAAATAACAAAAGCTCACTGATCGATGTACACATTTTTCTATAGATTATATTTTTAATATGGCTATGTCATAAATACTTTGTAAACTAAACATCTGATTGATGTTTTCATCTTCGAGTTCTTGGGTCTCGACTGGTATTAATGACATTTCTAGTATTGTGCTCTGTTCCAGTGTTGGCAGATTTTGAGTTATCACCATTTGAATTCATGCTGCGAGATCTCAAACGTGGATCTCGTAATGTTTCAGATTTTGTTACAGTTGGTTGAGTATTAGTTTCTGATCTTTGATAAGGGTGAAACCTTTGGGTGCTACTTGGTTGATGATGATTGGTTCCCGATACTTCTTGGGTTGTATGTTGAGGTCGAGATGTTGCTGAATTGGTTGATTGATTGGGAGAATTCCTTCCCTGTTCACTTACTTGTTGCTAAAATGATCACATCAAAACACAGATTAATTT